AAAAAAAAAAAAAAAAAAAAAAAAAAAAAAAAAAAGGGATCATCGCCAAGCTATCGATACTTATTGCGAGAGAGAGGCAGAGAAAGTAGCCAAGTTGGAAGAGGGAAGGAGGACCTTGGGTTGATAACGCAGCCAAGGGAACATTACAAAGTTGCATAAGGAATTTTGGCAATTACGCAGCCAGTGGTTTTATCAATGGGTTAATGTAATACCTGGGCCATCAGGGTCGAAAGAGAGATGATGAGGGGCGAGTCGGTCACAGTGTCGACTTCCCACGACGGAAGAACGCTTGAGATGTCCGCAGGAAGGAAAGGATAGGTGTTCTCGCTTATAAGTATGGCTGGGGTATGCCCCGCAATTAAAGGAACTTGGAGAGGCTAGGGGACAAGAGACCAAGAAGGGAAATCAAACCGCGGTGAGAGAGGCTGTGTATACAGGTTGTATGTGGGATAAAAGAAGGTTAATTAGTCATCTCGGTCGTTTTTTTGTGGGTGTGGTCTAAGATTACGCAAAAGTTGACAAGGGCAAGACATGTTGATGTCGATCTCTAGATGCTACCTCTCGCGCAAGTTTATGCTGAAAATATTAAGTACTGGCTGAGACATTGAGATAAGAACTGGTGGCAACAAGAGAGAATAGACAGGATGTGAGTTAAACAAATGCATGCTAGAAATATTTGCGGTAGGGCTTGGCTAGTGGGAATCAGACCGTCAAAACAAAATGAGGCAGACACTAGTCGGGACTTAGTACGGATGAGCAAGTTTTTGAGTCACCTTTTGTTGACATGCTACCCTAAAAGGTTTCTGCAAAGACAAGGGTTGACGAGAAATATTGGTTTGAGACTAGCCAGGGCGGTTGTATTATGATTCCTGGGAAAAACTAAGATCGTATTTTGAAAAGAGGCAATGAAACTTGGTTCGTTGAGGAAAGCAAGACATTGAACGTTGGTCGAACACGAGAAGAGGTTAGGGGACAGGGAACATTGATAGAGCAAGCATTCTCTGCAATGGTTGAACGGTCGGGCGGGCTAGTGCTGCTTGGGGCTGCGAGCCTCAACTCGAGCATTAGACGCTAAGTCGGGTGTATGTATGGATGATAAAAGATTGTTGAGAAGGATAAAAGGAAAAGCGCACGCATAAAACGCTAAAGAGATGGCCACTTTCTAACCTCCGAGATAGAGATAGGATCCGTGTCCTCGAGACCCATCCCCTCGGGCGATAACATGGAAATGGATAAGGATAGCCCTAACCAGGCTGTCTGATTGAAATGGATAAGGATGACCCTAACCAGACTTTCCGCTTGAAATGGAAAAGAATGGCCCTAACCAGGCTGTTCGACTTGGAATTGGAAAGAACGACCCTAACCAGGTTGTTCGGAATGGCCGCTGACAAGGGTCATTCTTTGGAGTTGGCACTGGGGTCCCCTTGCATGGCTGTTTGAGATGGATGAGATTGAGAAGAGCTGAGCTTTGGAAAAAATATTGGACTGAGCTTTGGAAAAGATGCTGGACTCAGCTTTGGAAAAAGATATTGGACTCAGCATTGGAAGAGATATTGCATTCAGCATTGGACCGAGATTGAGCATTGGACTGAGATTGAGCATGGGAATGGGACTGAGCATTGGACTGAGATTGAGCATGGGAATGAGACTAAGCATTGGAATTGGATTGAGTTTCGAAAATTGCACTGCATAAACAGGGGACCCTAGGCAACTTGAAATGGACTTGGAAAGAGCATTGAAATGAAATTTCTAATTTCTTCTAGTCTTTGGCCTCAGCAAGATGGGGACACCGGTGCATGCACCGTGACCCCAAGACCTCTATCCCTTTCAAGAAAAAAGTCTCAGCGCGACCTGTTCCTCTTTTAAGTGGATGAGGGTTAAAGGACCAAGGCACCTACCACTTGGATCGGTGTCGGTTGTCCGGAACCACCTCCGACAATAAGCTCTAGTCGGGGAGTTCAAATTGAGCCTCATGTTGAATGCCTAAACGTCAAAGGGCGAGAGAGTCAAATGGGCGAGAGAGTCATTCTCATCTAGTCTATTTTTGCTACTCTCCAACCATACACCATGTCATAGAGGGGGTGCCAGGGACGTTTGGGTCGGACCTCGGCTGCCCGCGCTAAGTTGGGTGGCACCGTCCAAGGGGAGGGGCCGGGCGAAGGTACCGGGTGGAGTCCGTCACCACCAGGGGGCATTGATACAGCCCTGCAGGAACATTACAACCGTTTCGGGACTAATTGCGAGGTCTTCGTAACTGTACTCGCGGACTAATTGAGAGCCCCAACTCTCTTGAAAGGAAGAGGCCGGATCCAGAAAATTACCACTCGGGAGGAATGATTCGCGAGGGAAGATCTTACGACCAGACGGGGCCCTAAGAGGCTTGGACTGGACCTACCTGCCAGAGGTGAGGAGGGACCTCAGTTTTGGTGCTCGTCGCATAATGGAGAAAGGTCGGACTAAGTGGAAGGATGAGGCGCCACCCGCTGGGGAGGAAATGATCACCCCTCCTTCGTGAAGCGAGTGGGCTTACGTCCTTGACTCAGTCGGCGGGCCAAAGGTCTCGTACCTCCGAGTGAGGACCAGTCACGCGATGGGGACATCGCGTTTTGAGTGGGGGGAAGGTGTGCCATCTACCAATGAATACGCATGGAAAAATACCTGTATTTGGCTTTGCATGGGCCTGAGAAAAGGGGCCTGGCAAGACACCTAGAAAAGAAAAAGACTTGTAATTGGTTTTGCATAGGACGGAGAAAAGGGGGTCTGGCAAGATGCCCAGGACAGAAAGGACTTGAGCAAGTGACACGGTATGAACTTGAGAAAAAGGGTCTGGCAAGACAACCAGGAAGGAAAGAGTTGGTATGATTGACTCTGCATGGACTTGAGAAAAGGACTGGCAGGCTGGGGAATAGTTGTGTGATTGGCTTGCATCGGCTTGAGAAAAAGGTCCGACAAGATGTTTGGAAAAGAAATGCACAAGGCATGAACCGAGCATTGCACATGGAAAGCCAATTAAGTAAAGGGCAAGAAAGGGCAGAGGATGATATGCATGCAGAATTGGCAAGACCTGAGAAAGGCTGGGTAAAATGACTCGGGGGAAATGCATGTGGATTCGGAAAAGCCCGAGCTTCGGGAAAGGGTAAAGGGGGAAATATGGATTGCATGGGCCAAAAAGCATGTTATTTTGGGATGTGTTAAGAGCAATGAAGAAGACAAAGCCAAAATGGTGTCTGCTTGAGAATGCTTCCTCAAGGAAATGGGAAGATAGATTTGAGATTACGAAGCGCTTAGGGGGAGTTGTCATCAATTCGAAGTGGGTATCACCACAAGCAAAGGCGGCGGTTTTACTGGACGAACATTCCCCATCCAAAGCAAATGTCTGACATTGAGTCACATCCGAAAACTTGCCCACAATTTGTTATCAATAATGCCAAGGCATATAATAAGAAAACCAATTGTGTTATGACAACAAATTGTCGCCCTGGGAATAAAGCCAACATGTCAGCAGTTAAGTGCATGAAGTGAGGAGAGTCTCGTCTGCTTAATGTTACTGAAGCCGAAAGAATTATGGGTTGCCCTGTTGGGTATACAGAGTTGACTGAAGAGGAAGTTCGCATCTCGATTGAGGGAAAGATAAAGAGGCAGAGCTATGATGGAAATGAGCAACCTGGTCTAAGCTGTAGGAAGAGAAGGGAGGTCCGAACAAGAACCTTTGACTCCCCCATACCCTCCTCCACCCCAAAAAGGGCGGAAACTAAAAGAGCACCCTGAGAAAGGAATGGGAAAAGACACAATGAACCCCGGCAAGCTAACTGCCCGTCTCACCCCACCCCCCCCTTTCATGTCTGTCTATCACCCCAGAATCCCTAGTAACTAAGGACTGGTGCGAGATGAGGACATCGCGAATGAGTGGGGGGAATGTGTCGGGACTTAAGAGTCCCAAATGACTTTCCGTCACTCAAGAGACTGTATATGGCTAATTTGTGCACGCCAGAGAAAACCGGAGGCAAAAAGGATGGAAGGATCAAGGCTCACGCATAGGTGTTGGGAACCCAGAAGTTGCTCAAAGTCATCGGGACCAATGGACTATGAAGAAAATTGACGGAACGGGGAGCGGCGGAGGCACGCAAGAAAGTGGCGAAGGTGACCCTTCCCCCGGAACGGAGAAGGACCGCCAAGAAAAGTAGTGGCAAAGGATGCGCGCTGCAGAGAGAGAAAAGAAGCAAGGGAAATGGGTGAATAGGACGTAAGGCGCCGGCGCGAGGGAAACGTTGCCGGGCTAGGTGGGCCACTAGGATGAAGCGGCAAGAGGGTCAAAAGGGCCTTAAGCTAAGTAGGGGACTACGTGAGACCAAGAGAAGATGTCGTACCGACAGGACAAAGTGTCGGGGACCACGCGAGAGCAAGGGAAGATGTGGTACCGGCGGGACAAAGAG